CATGTGCTCTGGTCGGTGTCTCCCAGGAGCAACATAGCGTGCAAGAATGCTAAGAGGGTATGCAAGGTCAGGTCGTGTGCAGGTCATCAGGTACATGAGGCAGCCAACAAGCTCTGGGTACGGGCCACTCGACTCTACGGACTCATCCGAAGGCAGAGCTGAGAGCGAGTGGTGAGTAGACAGAGGAGTGGCCTGAGGCGAGGAGTACGTGAAGCCGAAGCGCTGAAGGACCTGCTGCACCATGTGTGACTGAGTCAAGGTAATGGTGCGGCGTGCTCTGTCCCGAGTGATCTGCAAGCCAAGGTAGCTGCGCAGTTCACCCAGGTCTGTGCACGTGTGTCTCTTCTGCAGCTCGGACTTCACGTAGGCTAGTCCAGCAGTGTCAGCTGTGGCAAAGACCAAGTCGTCGACGTACACGAGGATGTAGAACGGCGGCAAAGAAGTGTCGGTGCGCAGAAACAACGACGGGTCAGCCGTAGAGGGAGCAAACCCAAGAGCCGCAAGCGTAGTCCTCAGTGTGTCGTGCCACTCACGCGGTGCCTGGCGGAGACCGTAGACTGGCCGTCGGAGGCTCCACTGGGTGCCAGTAGGGAAAGTCCCAGTGAAGCCAGGTGGACGGCGCAGCCAGATCTCCTCGTGCAGGCTACCCTGCAAGAAAGCAGTGCTGAAGTCAAGAGAGTGGAGCTCGTAGTCGCGCTGAGCGGCTATGTGCAGCAGCACCCGAAGAGTGGTCATCTTCGGGGTGGGAGAGAAGGTCTGAAAGTAGTCAACTCCCTGCCGCTGACTGAAGCCACGAGCGACGTACCGCGCCTTGAAGAAAGGTGGAGAGCCCGGCGGCCGCTTCACCCTGAAGATCCACATGCCACTGACGATGTTCGCCCCAGGAGGGGGAACCACGTCAACGTAGGTGCCTGTGGACTTCCAGGACGCCATCTCTGCATCCATAGCTGCCTGCCACTGAGAGGAGTAGGGACCCTCTACGGCCTCCGCGTAAGAGCGCGGAGTCGGGATGTCTAGTGCATCCGGGTCTCCCTCAGGGGCAAGTAGTACGGACGCGAGATGAGGTGAAGCAGCAGCCAGACACTGGAACTCCTCCTGCCTGTCCTCAAGGACGTCCGTGCCAAGAGCACACTCACCCCCGACGGACGGAGGACAGACAGACGCAGACTCAGCAACAAGACCGGCAGCGTAGTCTAGACGACAGCTAGCAGCAAAGTCGACGAGCTCAGCAACAAGAGCAGACGCAGCAGTGGACTCAAAAGAGGGGTCAGTGACGACAGTAGCAAGGAGACGTGTGACAGTAGGACTGGCAGCACGAAGAGAGTCGGACTCTGGGTCGGAAAGTGCAGGAAGGGAGGACTCAGGAGGAGAAGGCAAAGGGGCACGCAGAGGAGCAGTGGACGGACGCAAAGACATCCGGTGCGTGCCAGGGACAGGAGGAGGACGCTGACGCGAACCGCGACCACTAGCGCGAGCAGCACGAACAGGCGACGCAGGACGAGACGCAGGCTCACGACGCTCAGCAAGACCTCCAGTGGGACCAGTGTAAGGAGAGGGAGCAGGAAGTGGGGAGGCGGGCTCTAACTGGGACTGTGACTGAACAGGCTGTGGACACGCTGCAGGAGGAGAAAGACCAAGAACCTGCTGTAGGAGTGGAACGAAGTACGGCCGAGGCCGCGCGGCGACTCCAGACACAGCAAGGACAGCACCCTCAGCAGCAGCACCAGCGCCAACAGCACCTCCAGCTCCAGTACCTCCAGCAGCACCAGCAGCACCCGCAGCAGGACCACCGCCAGGAAGGACAGCAGCAGTCTCAGCACCAACACCCGCGGCAGCTCCAGCTCCAGGCGGACCCGAGGGCCCAGCAGCTCCGGGACCAGCGGCACAAGTACCCTCAGCAGCCGAAGGAGCTCCAGCTCCAGCAGTACGTCTCCAGCGGCGAGCAAACCACTCGCGCAGCTCCTGTGGAGAGAGGGGCTCCCGCCGAGGCGAAGCCCCCGGAGAACCGCCAGGTCCCGCACCGCCAGACGCAACAAGGGGAAGTCCAGTGGCCGCAGGCTCCGCAGCTCCAGGCTCAGTAGCTCCAGACGCAGCACCCCCTGGCTCAGCACCCCCAGTCACAGCACCCCCAGGCTCAGCACCCCCAGACTCCGCACCCCCAGGCTCAGCACCCCCAGTCGCAGTACCCCCAGGCTCAGCACCCCCAGTCTCAGCACCCCCAGGCTCAGCACCCCCAGGCTCAGCACCCACGCGCGTAGCACCCCCAGAGTCAGCACCCCCAGGCTCAGCACCCGCAGCAGGACCAGAGTCACCAGCAACCTCGACCGGCTCGACTGCGTCTACCTGGGACACACCTGAAGGGGCAGGACCCTGAGGGGGAAGGGGGTCTACCGGGGGGGGACCTGGCACAAGGAAATGCGGTGGCGGGGGGAGAGAAGGAGTGCGGTAGGGGAAGAGGCGGTAGAAGGGGACTGACTCGTCGAACGTGACGTCCTGGGAGGACAGAACACGACGAGAGGAGGGGTGGTAGAACTGCCACCCTGGGGCGTCAGGGGGGAAGCCGAGGAAGACACAGGGAGCAGCACGAGGGGACAGCTTGTCCGCAGACAAGTCGTGGACAAACGCCCGAGATCCCCAGACACGGAACGCAGACGCATCGCCGACCTTCCCCGTCCACAGCAGAGCTGGGGAGGTCTCCGGCCGGGAGACCCTGGGGTGAAGGTTGATCTGATGCGCCGCGTACCGAACCGCAAACGGCCACAGAAAATGGGGGGCAGCCGCATGCATCATGGACGTACGAGCGACGTCCATGACCATGCCAATGCGGCGCTCAGCAATCCCATTTTGCTGTGGAGAGTCCGGAAGCGTAAAGGTCTGGCGGATGCCTCGTGCACGACAGTAGGCTCGCAGAAGGCCAGAGGAGAACTCTCCACCTCGGTCAGAGTGCAGACGCAGAACAGGAAAGTCCGAGCCGAAGCTCCTCCTGAGCTGGAGACGAGCTGCGCGGATCCAGTCGATCAACACCTCAGTGACATCACCCTTGCTGCGCAAGGGGAAGACTGTGGTGTAACGCGAGTAGTCGTCAACCACCAGCAGGAAGTAGCGCTCGTGACCCTGCCCACGGACGCGGGCCGGGCCCCACACGTCCATGTGAAGCGTCTGCAGAGGAGCCTCTGTCGGGGGAAACTGGGAGGAGTGAGGGGCAGCCCGGAGCCGCCCCTCGACACAGGGGACACAGGAAGGTCCGGGTCCCGAAGGAAGGGGAGGGAGAGACCGGGGAAGACCAGAGACAAGGACACGGGAATCCATGCCCCGAAGACGAGGCAAGGAGGGGTGGCCAAGACGGTGGTGCCACAGGAGAGTCTCCTGAGACAGGCGGCGACACGAGCAGGGGGCAGACTCAGGACCAGACTTGGACGCAGCAGCAAACACCTGACCCGACGCAGCTACCTGGCCAGACGCAGGGACAGGAGGAGACTCAGTGGTCAGGGTGTAGAGACTCGACCCCGGCCGACGCGAAAACGTGGCCAGGTGTCGGCCTGTGCGGGCGTCCGAGCAGTGGGTCACCCGCTGACTCGCAGGAGTAAACTGGTGAACCCCCGCATCCTGCAGGTCAGCACCACTCACCAAGTTCGTCGAGAACGAGGGGAGGTACAGACCAGACAAGGTGCCCGAGGGGGCAGCCGGACACGGGAGGACAGTGGAGAAGTGAGAGAGGACAGGACCCCCAGAGGGGTCAGCCAGGGAGACTGCAACCGGCCGGCCAAGCGGCGTGAGTGTGGTGCGGTCTCGAAAGAAGGAGCGAGAAGCTCCTGAGTCAAGCGTGAAGGTGAGGGAGGCCGAAGCCGACGCAGTACCTGAGAGCGCAGCCTCACCAGTACCTGAGAGTGCAGACGCACTGGCACCTAGAGCAGCAGCCGCACGTTTGGCCACTTTGCTTGCTGCAGAAGCAACCTCGCGTCGCCTTCAGCTTTCGTTTGCCCAACCTGCACCCAACCTCGTGTTCCCAAGGTTCTCGCCTAGCTACCTTGTCTCGCTATATAATCGCATGCTTTTTCATAGTACTGTCAAATCATGGCGTCACAGCTTTGTTATTCGTTTTCCAGCCAACTCTGTTGGACAATCCATAATACGTGCTATGAGAGCTACTTTCATAGCTCACCCCGCTTTTCTAGGGAAGTTTAGAGGCACGGGTGTGATTGGAACGGTGGGCTGCAAAGCGGTTGGTTGCAAGTTTATTGGATTAAACTTCCCCGACTCCGATAGATTTTACGCTTGCGTGTTGCCAGATACTCACGGATACCTACTTGCCTATTAAACATAGTTTTTGACACATGGATCAGGCAGCATTTAACGCATTGATGCAGCAAGTGGCAGAGATGTCGGTAGGCATGAAGGCGTTAACGACAGTGGTGGAGAGACTACATGAAGAAAACAAGTAGTCACGCCAGGCGCGAAGTGAAGCGCGCCAGGAGTTGCCCGCTAAAGAATGCAAGAGCACTGGTCAAGCGGTAAGCGGCAATCCATTGGAGGAGCTCATACGTGGCTTTGAAAAAGGAGATCGGCAGCAAGCGGCAGCGACAGTTGCAGTGACAACAATCAAGATATAACCTACAAACCCGCCCCCGTTCAACCCTATAGACAAAAACACTATAGTTATGGGGTGGTTGTTTGGCGTTGATGTGTTCTTCACTACAGCAAATGTTAACTACTGTTGAAATATAATTTCTATATAAACTGCTTGTTGCGTAGTTTACTGTAGTTATCCCTTGTTACTGCTGTTGGTGTATCTCATTGCTTGCTTGCATTTCCTATTTGTGCCTTCCGAACTATAGTAAAATCCCCTTTTCGGTCCATAGTCTCGCTAATGCCATGCTACTCTCGCTACTCTAGCTATGGTCCTTAGCAAACTTAAGTTACTAAGTTAGCCTCGTGACATGGTATCAGAGCGGGTTTCTATTTAGGACCCGATTCGTATGGGCCCACCTTTAGCCTCATCAATGGCGCCCCCAGTCGCACTGCACGTCGCGTCGCTGCTGTCCGTTGCTAATTCCGCCGTCACGGTTGTGATCGTCATGGCGGCGAGGTGCGCTATGTCGAAACCCGCTCGCCCCGTCACGGATCCCTGTCGCGCTGCTGGTGTGGCCCCTCGTTCTGCTCATCGCGACATTTGGCGGGCCCATGTTTTGCCCGCGTTTCACTCACCCCCAACCGTCCTTACTCCTCTCGCCGCTCATCGTCACCTCCTCGTCGCCCGTCGTCAGCTCACTGCCACCCATCGTCAGCTCACCGCCGCCCATCGTCAGCTCCACGCCGCCCATTGCGCACCAACAGCTATCCTCGCCCGCCCTCCCATCGGCCCCTATGCTGTTGCAGCGGCTGTACATTCCGCACCTGCAGATGTTGTGTCGCCCGGTGCAGCCTCCATGCGATTCCCCATCGCATTCCCTTTCATGACTGCGGCTGTGGGGGGGGGTCGTGTGGAAGGGGTGGCCACCGTGAGCCACTCCATCACCACCCTCTACCCTGCCTTTCCCCTCCCGCGGCTGCTGCTGTGGGGAAGGTGGTGGGGGCGGGGTGGGTGGGGGGGCTGGCCGCCGTATGAAGATCTGTGCAGGGACCATCATGGGTGGTGAGGGGTCTGGAGGAAGAAAGGAGGGGAGGGGGTGAGGTTCCAATGGGCGTTTGAACGGGGGGGTGAGGTTAAGGGGGGTGGTTGGAAGGGTGTGGGGACTTGGGGGTTAGTTTGAGGGGTTTCGCCACGATTGGCTCCCCCCCACCTCCTCTCCTCATCTATCTCTCACCTCTCCCTTTGTAACCGGGGGTTAGTAAGAGGGGTTTCGCCATGACTGGCTCCCCCCCACCTCCTCTCCTCATCCCTCTCTTTCACCTCCTCCTTGGTACTTCTCTCTCATCCTCTCCTCTCTCTCTCTCTCGCCTCCTCCTCCTCGCTTGTCTCTCTGCCCTCTTCGGGTGCGCCAGATTTACCACTTCAGGGGGGTGTTGACATCAAAGATGCCACGCGTATTAATAGCGTGTTATCGCTTCTGCAAGGCCCGATGCTTGAGGTGGTGGCGACAAACCTTGGACACGGGGACCCTGACAGGTGTGACACATGCGACAGACAGGATTTTAGGCTTTGCAAATGGGAGGGCATCATCGATATTCGGTGTGGCCATAATTCCCAAGTGGAAATAGTGTGGCGCAGCCTTACAAGAGCGTTTCGAGCATGTATCCACCTCAAAATACGCTCGCATAAAGTTGGGTACATGGCGTCGTTGATGGCGCTCGCGGACCAAGTAGACGATATGGCTGAGGAAGAGCGGTTGGAGAAATACATGAGCGGCCTCAAGTACGAGATACAATTCAAGGTGTGTCAAAACCACCCGACTATATTCAACAAAGCCGTCCAATTGGCTGATAACACAGACGTGCTGATGCAGTAGGCGAGATCAAGTTCCTTGGGGGGGAACCGTTTTCGTGGACAGACCCAGCGGGCCACGATTAACGGACTCCGGACAACATCGAGTCTACATGTGCCAAAGCCATCACTACTACACGCCACGTTTGTAAGGGTACGCAGCTGTACGCCGTTCATGTGCGCGCGTTGGTAGTTAACATTGACGGAAACGACATCGACAAGTTGTGTGCAACTGTACCACTCGAGCTGGCAAAGTTGATTCGGCAATATTTCGACATTTTCCGGACGACCTAGTACCTGGACTACCACCCGAATGACCGGAAGACCACACAATCACCCCCAAGCCTGGCACGCAACCGATTGGTTGTAAACGAAGGCAGCTGACTCATTCCGAACTCGCGGAGCTTCGAAGTCAACTTGAGTCAGTGTTGAAAAAGGTCTTCATTCGACCCAGTACTTCACCCTTTGCCACACCGATCCCGTTCACTACAAAAAAGGGCGGCGGCATTCGCATGCTTATCAACTATCGCGCACTCAACCGGGTAACCATCAAATCTCGCAATCCCATCCCACGTAGTGACGACTTCCTCGACCAAATTCGCGGCGCTCGCTACTTCTCAAAGATTGACCTACGGGGCGGTTACCACCAGATCAGGGTCTTCGATAACGACTATCACAAAACTTCCTTCCGAACCCGCCACGGCAAATACAAGTTCATCATGATGCCTTTCAGCCTCACGAATGCGCCATCAACATTCCAACGCACCATGAACAGGGTATTTCTTTATAAGCTCGACAAGTGTGTACTCGTTTATTTGGACGATATCCTAATTTTAAGCAAGACACGCGAACAGCACCTCCGCGATCACGATGCATTATTTAAGCAGCTACAGGACAACCGGCTCATCGCTAAAGGCTCTAGGTACGAGTTCTTCAAGACGGAGTTAGAGTTTTTGGGGCATGTCATATCACACGACGGCATCAAAATCGACTCAAATGAAATCAAGACCATCCAGAAATGGAAGGCCCCGATTAATCCTTGGCTGACAGTCCAATCCGTTGCGGTACTGATCACCCATTTGAACCCGTTACTTTTGGGGCTATTCACCCACGGCTATAAGACGGACCTATTTTTCACGAGAGGCAATCACTTCCAGGCAACAACAATAAAGGGGACTATTATAAAAAAGCCGGAACGGACCTGAATTGTGTACCCGCATACCACTTTCTGCGTTATATACTTATCCAGAGGTCCATGACTCGAACCTTTCCAGACATATTGGAGTTGACAAGATGCAGAAAATGCACCGTCAGTATTAATGGCCCGATTCTAACTCTGACTCTCAGCGTTATGTGTCTTCATGCAGAGTGTGCCAAGTAATGAGATCGACACGTCAAGGGCCTGCTGGCCTGCTGCAACTCCTCGAGCCACCCAAGCGACCGTGGCAACAGGTAACAATGATTCTTGTCACAGGGCTGCCAGCTGACGCAATCGGCAACGATGCAGTGTCGGTCATCGTCGATCGCCTCACAAAAATGTCACACTTCACAAAGTGTCATACAGCAATCATAGCCGAAGAAACTACGCGCCTCTTCATCTCAACCGTTCGCTTGCACGGCATCCTGTCCGCGATCATCAGCGATAGGGACCCAAAGTTTACATGGATGTTCTGGAATGAGACATAGGCACAATACGACACTCGGCTACAGTTCTTGTCGGCCTACCTGTTGGATGCACGTCATTTTGAGTACATGTCATCCTAACGTCCTGCTGAGTGCTCGTGCTATTCATGCGTGCATTGTTTGCATGAGCATAAGTCATTATGCATGGCTGTTGGATTTTACCATCTCTGTGTTTTTCTCCAAGTCTACATGCTTTATCATGCAGGAGAAATCCAGAGCTTTCCAACGATACCAAGATCGCCTTATTCCGACCAAGATCGCCCAAGTTACAAGATTTCCAAGTTTTGGGAATTTCTATCTCATTTTGAGATATTAACTATATTGGGTGATATTGGGTCATGACTATAAAGGGATCTTTGGTTGGGTGGTTAGGAAGGCAACTTTGACTTTTGGATTGGGGTGGCTAGAAGTTTCTAGCATGGGTTGCAAATGTTGCAACACCTAGGCAAAATCCAACTAGATTGGATTTTGCATGTGACACCTCAAGGACCTCATGATGAGGGTTGCATCTTTGCTGCTAGGAAGGTTCCTACCATCCTTCCCTAGCTCTTGGAGTACCCCTTCCCTCTCATGGTTCTCTTGGAGGTCCCCAACTCCAACTTTCTATGCTTCATGCTTGTACTTCCTCCATCACTCTAGTGATGCAGCAGCTTGACGTTTTCGAATGGTTCTCACTCTCTAGACCATCTTTTTAAGTGATTCAAATTGGAGATGGTAGCTAAGCCTAAGGCGCAACATCCTACCGAGCGGATTTGCGTTTAGTTGAGAAGTGAGTTCGTCGTAGCTTCTCGAAGTGACGGATCCTGTACAACAAGTGGTATCAGAGCGGGTAGTCGACTTTGAGACGACGAATCGCGGTCAATTCTCAACCAATGTTGACGAGTGAGACCATTTTGGGATAGCTCGGTTCGCGAACTTTCGATTGGTTGTTGAATCGCGTTCTAATTCGAAGTATTCAGTCGGCGACGGCGATTTTTGTAAAGTCGAAATTTCTGGCAGAATTCTCTCCAAACGATTTCTCAAGTTTCCACCGTTCATAAGACCTCAATATGACTGGAACGGACTCCAGAGGTGCTAATGGCGAGATGGATAGAGGTAGAGAGGCTGGAGAGCAGGGGGGAGTTGCTGGTGGTGGAGTGGGGACTCACCAATCAGCCAACCCTACGCTACCCTCGACTTCTACACCATCTCCGACAACCGTGGATCACGTGAAGGCGTTCTCTATCGAGAAATTCATGGGGGAGGACTACGAACACTGGAGCTTCCGTATGAGGCTGATGTACACCCAATACAAGCTATTGGATCTGGTGGAGGGGAAGGAGAAGATGCCGGAGGCCGCGGAGCTGAAAGGAGCATGGATGAAGCGCTCGTTCGATGCGTACATGCTCATGGTGCAAGCGGTTGGTGGACGACAACTTGACCACATCAAGGACCTCTTGGGTGATCCAGAGTGTGGACCCAAGGCTTGGAGGAAGCTTCTGGATGTGCACTCACCGACACACGCTACCGGCATCGTGCTACTCGCGCGGCGGCTGCGCAACATCAAGTTCGTTGATGGAGAGCCGATGCAACCAGTGTTGGACGAGATGCGGGACATCTTCACGAAGCTCCAAGGCGGCGGTGTAGTGTACCCGGAGCTCGTACAGTGCGTGGAGATCGTGATACGGCTGCCGGAGTCGTGGTCTGCCCTTGCCATCAACCTCAACTCACAACAACCCCAGTGGAGCGTGGATTACATCCGGGCGCGCATTCTTGAGGAGGACTTGCGGCGCCGGAGTGTGGAGCGCTCGGAGGAGGGGGCTGGCTATGGAGTTGGTGTCAGATTTATATGACAGAGCTACTGTAGGCTATAGTGGGGTAGCACATATGGGATACAGTTTTCTAGGGTTTGTATTTGTACCCAACTTTCCCTTAGTCATCCCCATTTTTCCTCGTTTCTTCTCATGGTATCGAGCAGGTTCCCTAGTGGGAACGATTCCTAGGGCCCACCACCACGAAATTTTTTTTTCCTGCCCGGAGCGCGCTTCGCTCAGGCCCGAGTCGCGCCCTGTGTGCTCTCCCTACCGTCGCGCCCTCGCTAGGCCCCTCACGGCCCCGTCGCGTCGCCCTTAGCGGCCCCCTCACGGCTCTTCGCGCCGCCCCCTACGGCCCTTCGCGCCGCCCTTACGGCCCTTCGTGCCGCCCTTACGGCCCGTCGCGCCCGTCGCGCCGCCCTCACGGCCCCTCGTGCCGCCCCTTATGGCCCCTCGCGCCGTCCCTTACGGCCCCTCGCGCGGCCCCTTACGCCCCTTACGGCCCCTCCCGCGGCCCCTCACGGCCCCCTACGGCTCGTCGCCGCCCTCCGCGGCCCCGCCACCTACCTGTGCGGCCCCGCCACCTACCTGTGCGGCCCCGCCACCTACCTGCGGCCCCGCCACCTACTAGCGGCCCCGCCACCTACCTGCGGCCCCGCCACCTACCCGCGGCCCCGCCACCTACCTGTGCTGGCCCCGCCACCTACCTGCGGCCCCGCCACCTACCAGCGGCCCCGCCACCTACCTGCGGCCCCGCCACCTACTAGCGGCCCCGCCACCTACCTGTGGCCCCGCCGCCTCCTCTCAGCGGCCTCGCCGCCTTCTCCCAGCGGCCCCGGACGCCGCCCTCTTAGCGGCCCCGCCGCGCCGCCAAGCAGCCGAGCCGCCCAGAAGCCGAGCCGCCGAGCCGCCCAGCAGCCG